GGGAGGAGGTGTAATAGGAGCCTATATAAGAAAAAGTCCCAAATACTGGGACTGTCCCTATAAAATCGGGACATCTGGTCACCCTAGTCAAATGCCTTCTCCACCCACCCCCAACAGAACAACACTCACCCCCTCCTCAACTAAAACTTTCCCACTGAACTTTATCTCAGCTACAGCTGTCTTTTAGAAAGCAAACTCCATGGGACTGGGACTCATCTTATACAGCACCGAGCACATAACCAGCTCTGACACCAAGTCACACAAGGGGGCAGCATTCAGCGGCTGAGGTGGGGAGAGAACCGCGTCAGTTTTCGCCTCCTCCTCGGGGTGCGGAGGCAGCAGCGCCCCACCCGCGCCGGCGCTACAAGCGGAGCTGTCAGGCCATGACCCCTGGGGGCAGAGGCCCCCCCCCCACCGCATAAAGCTACAGCATTTTAAACCAGGGGTGACAATCCCCCCAGGGCCGGCTTTAGGAAGTGCAGGGCCCAATTCAAATAGTTTTGACGGGGCCCCGGCAGGGTTGACTTAAAAAAACAAAACAAAAAAAAACATAAAAAAAAACACATGGGGCTTGTACTCACTGGGCCGCGCTCCTAGTCTTTGGCGGCGGGTCCTTCACTCGCTACGGGTCTTCGGTGGCACTGAAGGACCTGCCGCCAAAGACACAGAGCGCCGTCGGGTGAGTAAAAATTAAAAAGGCGCCTCTAGCCAGGGAAGGGATTCTCTGCCACTTGCCCCCCACTCTGGGCGGCCCTGCCACTCGGCGCGGGGCCCTCTTAGGCACCGGGCCCGATTCGGGGGAATTGGTGGAATTGGCCTAAAGCCGGCCCTGGATCCCCCGCGCAAACCCACTCCCCCACTCGGGCTGCCCCTCCCCCATTCTGGCAGGTCCCCCTTACGGAGGTGGCGGCCCCTCAGGTTCAGGTTGGGGGAGGACCGAGGAGGCCCAGAATCAGTCGCACCCCTCAGCCGCAGGGCCCCGGCACACACCTCGGAAAGGTGTCCCCGACCCCCCGTCAGAACAGGCTCTGCCCATAGCCTGGTACCTGCTACGAGGCCCCCAAGGAGCGTGGATACGTTGCTGGCGGGACCCGCTCACCCAGATTCCCTGCACAGAGCGCGCTGCGGCGCTCCCCGCCAGAGAGCAGCGGGCTCCTGGCAACCGCAAACCTCGCCGCACTCCGCCCCTCTCCCCAGCCTTCCCACCACCCTGCCAGAGCTTCCGGGTGGAGGTGACTAACCGAGCTGTTCAGCTGAGTGACCCGAGACGGATACTACAAATCCCAGCATGCAATGCTTCCCCGCGCCCACTTCCTCACGCAATTTGACGCAGAGGGTTGCATGCTGGGAATGGTAGTTTTGTTGGGCCCTAGGCTGCTTGCCTCAATATGGAGTATTGCCTGCAAGGATCTGTAGTTTGGGGTGGGGTGGAGGCTATACTGCGCTTCCCACTTAAATGTGAAGGTGACTTCTATTTTATGTCAGGTGTATGAAGGGAGGTTTTTACCCACGAAAGCTTATGCCCAAATAAATCTGTTAGTCTTTAAGGTGCCACCAGACTCCTTGTTGGTTTTGCTTCCCTTGCTGTTATTCCCAGAATCACCCTGATTCATTGTTGCTGGAACTAGGGGTGTGGGGCATGCCACCGCACCACCTGGCTTGAAGTTCCATCATATATAGGGTTTGCAGTTTGGGTCAATGGTTCTCAGCACCCCCACTATACTAGGGTTACCATACGTCCGGTTTTTCCCGGACATGTCCGGCTTTTCGGCAATCAAACCCCCGTCCGGGGGTAATTGCCAAAAAGCCGAACGTGTCCGGGAAAAATACCGGCCGGGCACTTCCTCTCCCGTGGCCGCTCTGCTCCTCCCCGGACTCAGACTTCGGCTCTGTTTAAGAGCCAAGCTGCCCGAGCCAGCACTACCGGCTTCGGGCAGCCCCCGTGCCTCCGG